AAAACACTTTCAAAAGGCACCTGCGCCTGGCTGCGATACGTGCCCCATGCGACCACACGCCCCAAGCCGCAATCCCGGTTTTCTTTCTTCCGGTAGCTACCAGTATTCCAGGTCCGGTCCAGCTTAAGCCCTGATGGGCCTACTGCGCTGGCCTGGTCTTCTTGCCTTTGGTCCTGTTGCTTCAGCTCAAACCTCCGGCTTCCTTCGGTCGCTGATCTTCACTCGGCTCCGAAGATCCTCTTGAATGGTATCCAGCAGTTCACAGCTGGTTCCTTAGATTCGGCTCGAAGGACCAATTGAAAAAGGACAGGAACGAGGGAAGGGTCATCGTCACGGCTCGTTCAGCAGCGGATTCCCTAACCTCCTATGACACCTACGTTGGGTTCGGGAACAACGTATGTGAACCCCGCAAAGGAGTAACACACAAGGGCGTCGACCTCTTCTTTTTTTTTTCAAATAGGTTCAGGCGGGGATTACGGGTCTTCTGAGGTCGTCCCGGTCCCAACGCCTTAATTCTTCAATATGTGCCGCGCTAGCGACACCAATGAACTGTACTTATTTTAAAGGTGAAGGATCCCTAGGGAATAAAACAGTAATTATCTTCAAACCGTTCCGTGAGGGAGTAATTACTTTCCCTATCACTTCCCTTACTTACTTTTCTTTCTTGATTATATTATATACTGGTAGCTGGTCCCGAACGATTTGTATGAAAACCAGTCTAATGGGGTATCAACAAAGCTATACTCGAAAGAGAGCCGCGCCCTCTGTGCGATTACGCTACTTAATTATATCAATTTGTACTATCACTCTCTCACGGTTTGCCCAATATCTTTATTTGTATAAGACATACATTTATACATTTTATTTATAAAGATAGCACAAAAAAATATCTATATTATGATATACATTACATTTTTATATCACAAAAAACCTTTTATTTATTCAACAAAATATGCCTATTTTACAACGTATGTACTAAGTTAGAATTCTTAAATATCTAACATATAAGGTTGAAACAATGTTCTTCATTAGTTTAATTTACATTTTTCCTATACATTTTACTATTTAAAACACTTTTAAATTTCTTACACAAAACTATCAATATTTCACTAATCCAAAGGAATTTTCACATGAAAATAACACAGAATTCACCTATTTTGCTCATACAGTCAATCTGAAATATTATACAAGTCAATTTTACATGAATTGCTGAAATTTGCAAATATTTAAATTTCTACTTATTTTGACCTCCTAAGTACAAGGTTAACGCGCGGCTATGAACTCGCGCTTTTTGAACAACTAATTCTTACACGACTCTCAATTGTCGGTAAAAGGTGGCAAATTTAGCACACACTGCTATCAACCAATGCTAGGTGAACAACTGATTCTACACGACTCTCAAATGTCGGAAATTGATTGTAACTAGATTCTTATCAGCTATCATGTTTCTTATAAATATAGATAACAAATAAAATATTTTATGAATCAAACATTGAAAATAAACATTTTATTTTCATACAAAACGTATCAAACTTATATAATATAATACTTATGCAATTAATTTCCATTAATTCTATTTATACACAAAGTGATCATTTCGACCGGGGAACAAATCCTGGTCTCTAACTTTATTTTAATATTCCTTTAAATTAACAATATTATTGGAAAGGTGATTTCAACCGGGGAACTGAACCCGGAAACATGATTTATATCTTAAAAATTCCCTATATGAATTAATTAAGAAAATATTACTAGGAAAACGACAAACTAGTCCGGCCTGGGAATCGAGCCCAAGACCTTCAAATTATTAATTCGATATTTCTTTAAGATTCAACTAAGTGTTTTCTTATTAGAATATTATTGCTCGATAATTTGTTTTAGAAGCTGTTCGTAATCGGTTAACTAATAAATTGAAATATTCTTATAGACGCGTCACCAACAACTATAATGCGTTTTAATAAGGTATATAATTTTTTCCATAATACTAGTAGTTCTTCCCCGAGCGTCGATTCTGTCTGTTTGAAGTCTGCAGTCCGTGAACTCGTACAGGATCGCCCCCGTCACTACATCAGATTTAATAGACCACAAATCTTCGCTAAAGAACACCGATTCCTTTCAAGGATGATTCGCGAGTCTATTGAAATCAAAAAACATCCTAATTTCAATAGAGAAGATGGCTGGGTGCTTCCATCTGATTGGGATCCCTAAATTATTGAAATTAAAACCCAACAACTGCAAGACTTCAAGATACTATAAGTTCGTACTTCACAGATCGGAACAAAAATTAATAATATTAATCTATGGTAACCGCGGTTAACTATGACATTTAGACGTTGAACATCTCAGTCTCCCTGTGACCATGGGTGCTGTAAAATGCTCGAAACGTCGGGTATTTAAAAAGTTAAATATACGCGATAAAATAAAAAATAAAATTATTATTTAAATGTGTAATGTTCGCGTAAATATAAAAACTCATTAGGTATATAATTATTCCGAGCTGCGGTTACCTTTATCAGTTGCCTGGCTCGGTCATTCGTACACAGCGCGACAGCAAGGCAAAATCTACTTTCACAACGATGACGATGTCATGTTGATGATGTCTTGTCATAAGTGACGCAACGATTTCACACCAAAAAGACAAAGTAAGAACCTTTATAATATTACGTTCCAGTGATGAGGGAGCTTATTATCATCATCCATAGACTGATCATATCTTACCTATATGATCAGTTGATGGCGAGGCCTCTTGTGCTTCAATTTAATGACAATTTTTTTATTAATAGGTTATATAAATTATTTATCACATTCTCAGAAATTAAGGAAAAAACGTGAGGAAACATACACTTCTGAGAAATAAGAATAAAATATTTCGAAGACATAAGAAGTTCGCTAACACGCATTGGGACAGCGCGACGGACACTTCCTTGCCCCAAAACACTCTCAGAAACGAGCGGAGGCCTGTGCCCAGCAGTGCGACATATATACTATATAACTTTAACTAAATTTGGATAGGTTACATAGGTCAGAGATGATCATATATAAATTTTGAGAAGAACCCCAACCAAACTAATGCATGGGTTTGAAGTTTTTAACCTGCCTTAATGGCTTGAGACTGTGTATTCCTTAATACATTCAAAAGGACCATAAATTAAACTTCACATCAAAATGAAAGCAGACTTTAAAGTACTAAAATGAATATTGTGGACATAATGTTTCAGAAGTCGGTGCAGAACAGTGCATAGAAAATGAAAGCTCTTGTCTGCTTATATTTTACTAAAAGTTTAATTTTCGTTACATAATGAAGTCAGCCTTCGATTCCGTCGAAATTTGTTCGAAATTTCAATAAATATGACATTTGACAAGCAGTTAAAACAAGTTAAACCTTTATACAACCCACGGCTGGGCACACGCCTCCTCTCATTTCTGAGAGTGTTTTAAGGCAAGCAAGTGTCCGCCGCGCTGCTCTATGCGTGTTAGCGAACTTCACATGTCTTCGAAATATTTTTTTCTACCGCCGAGCCCGTGGTAAATAGCACATAAAATTGCAATTAACAATAACCGAGTTCGGTGCCGAACCTGGTTTGCTCGCTTACTGTAAAATTTACAGCGAGCGCTAACCATCTGAGCTACCACGGCTCTCTACAAGTTGAACAAGTAGAAAAGGTCCCAATCCAGTAGAGTACTATTAAAGAAGAATGAAATTTTAGAGGTTCGTTTATATATATATATATATATATATATATATATATATATATATATATATATATATATATATATATATATATATATATATATATATATAAATAAAGAAATATACGTAATAGATCCACGCTGCAACTTGTGCTGCAAGCACAAATCGTCTAGACCATGGATTATAGAGATAAGGAGGACAGTCTCCCAAAGAAGAATAGTTGAAAATGTGTCCTTCTGTAAGCAGCAAATAACAGTTCAAAAACAAAACAAATCAAACAACATGCTGTAAAATACGTTAAGAGTGATTTTGAAAATAAACATTTTGGAAGCAATAAAATAATTATTGTATGAAGAATTATGGTGAGTCTATTATGCAATAAAAAATTATAAAAAGTACTTTAAAATCTAGACTATAGCTACAGTCTAGACATCTACCTATTTAGCGCTTTCCTACGGACACTTTTTCATACAGTCTGTATTCCTTATCTCTACACTCCATAGTCTGGACCGCGAAAGAACCACGTTTACATAGAATGTTAACGTAAAATAAAACCGTAACGCTGCTAATTGTGATTCGTATAATAAGTAACCAGAACCAACTTTTCAAATATGGAAAGGGCATTCCATTAATATCCTTAAGAATGACAATGCATCTATATCTTCATTCGATTTAGTTTGTCTATAGAACACAGCATCCACTTACCATTACAATGTAATGGCAAGGGGATGAATGTGCCCCTTGTCACGCTTATACCATTAAAACGCAATATGTGTGTATAATGTTTGTCAACTTGCAGTTGTGGGCAAACAATGATACAAAGCTTTCGCAAATTTTGTAAAAATGTCACTCAAGTAAATATATACAGAATTTTGTAAATTTTGTAAAGGTTTAGTTAAGTGAGTCCACTTGGAGAAACATTTTTCCGTAGACTGCATCTACATTACATTGTCACTCGCTTTAATTTTCTTTGCAAGTACACACAAACACACAAAAACAGCTCCTAAACTGAATTTTAATATTGCGGCTAAAATAAGTGTATTGTATGTAAAATTTGGTACATCCAACCTAAGACTGGTACACACGACGCCGATTGATGTATGACATCGTGCAATTATCTCAGGAATAGCTTTTGATCTGAATACTAATGGTCTTACCGATTACTAGCACTCAGTTTATACCAAATAGTCTTTATCGCAAGGGATTATGGTTCTATTTTCAAAGCGACACTTGTTTATATACAACGAAGATATGTTGCGATGTTTGAAGCACCAAGCAACTCCTTTGTAACGTATTCGGTGCAACTCAAATGCATAGACGTAAGCGTTTAGGTTAAGTTTAGTTTATTACGTAATCGTTATACGGATAAAATTAATGTAATATTTTTTTCGAGGTTTATTACAGTCGTATCACGACTAATTTGTCGTTTGTCACCCCTATTCTATAAAAAAATATTCACACAAAACCAAATTTACTGCACATACTAAATTACTACATATCCCGGACGTCAGTCTGAGCGAGATTAGAATGGCTCTCCAGCACCTTAAAAACGGCAGGGCCCCAGGCGAGGATGGAATTACAGCGGAGCTTCTGAAAGCGGGTGGAACACCGGTACTTGAAATCCTTCAGAAGCTCTTCAATTCCGTCCTCCATGGTGGTACTACTCCGGAGGCGTGGAGCAGAAGTGCGGTGGTCTTGTTCTTTAAGAAAGGCGACAACGCCCTCTTGAAGAACTACAGACCGATTTCCCTACTGAGCCGCGTCTACGTGCTGTTTTCGAGAGTCATTACGAATCGTCTCGCACGCAGACTCGACGACTTCCAGCCTCCCGAACAAGCCGGTTTCCGAAAAGGCTTCAGTACCATAGACCACATACACACCCTGAGTCAGATTGTACAGAAGACCAAGGAGTACAATCTGCCACTTTGCCTGGCGTTTGTGGACTATGAGAAAACCTTTGATTCCGTCGAAATTTGGGCGGTGTTACAATCCTTTCAGCGGTGCCAAGTTGACTGTCGGTATATGGAAGTGCTGAAGTGTTTGTACAGTAGGGCTACGATGGCTATCCGAGTACAGAACCAGAGTTCGAAACCTATCCAACTGCAGAGAGGTGTAAGACAGGGTGACGTTATATCCCCGAAACTCTTCACCGGAAGACATTTTCAAGCTACTGGACTGGAAAGGATACGCTATTATCATCAATGGCCAGTTCATCACTCATCTTCGATTTGCCGACGATATAGTCCTTATGGCAGTATCGCTGGAGGACCTTAGCACTATGCTCAATGACCTCAATGGTGTCTTCCAACGGATAGGTCTTAAGATGAACATGGACAAAACAAAGATCATGTTTAAATAAAGTCCATGTCACACCTATGCCGGTAGTTGTTGGGAGCACTATGCTCGAAAGTTGTTGAGGAGTATGTTTAGCTGGGACAAATAGTCCGACTAGGTAAGTCCAACTTCAACCAAGAGGTCAATCGACGGATTCAATTTGGATGGGCAGCGTTCGGGAAATTACGACACATCTTCTCGTCAGGTATACCTCAATCTCTGAAAACTAAAGTGTATAACCAGTTCGTGTTGCCAGTGATGACTTACGGATCAGAGACGTGGTCCTTCACTGCTGGCCGTATGAGGACGCTCAAGGTCGCTCAGCGAGCTATGGAGAGAGCTATGCTCGGAGTTTCTCTGCGTGATAGACTCAGAAATGAGGATATCCGCAGTAAAACCAGAGTGACCGACATAGCCCAACGGATTAGTAAGCTGAAGTGGCAATGGGCCGGCCATATAGCTCGAAGAACCGATAACCGATGGGGAAGAAAGGTTCTCGAGTGGCAGCCTCGTACCGGTAGGCGTAGTGTAGGGCGACCCCCCACTAGATGGAGTGGCGACCTGGTAAGACATGCAGGAAGTCGATGGATGCAGGTGGCTCAGGACCGTGCTTTGTGGCATTACTTGGGGGAGGCCTATGTTCAGCAGTGAACTTGTGAAGGGCTGTAATTATGATGATGATGATGAATTTACTGCTTTCAATGTTTTGTTTATTATAGGATACGGGTGACATGCGAGCACACAGCTCACCTGATGATCAGTGGGTACTGTGACCTATAGACATCTACATCTATCCTCGAATTAGAATCCATATGCAGATGCGTTTTCACCCCTGAGGACTAATACGAAATGCCGCGTTTCCTATAAAAGGGTCTCCGGTTCTCTTCACACACCACACGAAACACAGCAACATTAAGCTGCTGTATTAAGCTGGTATTCTGTGAAAGCGTGAAAATTATCGTTATTAATATAAATTGTTAAATAAATTGATAAAAACCACTAAAAACTCTCTTGTGTCCGTGTAGATGTTCATGTTCATGAGAGCTTTGAACAACCATGAATTAATTAAAGAGTTTTGTCTTTGAATGTCAAAAAAATTAAGATTGTCTAAAGAGCTGAAAATACAGCACTCTGTTGAATTATTATGATATAATACTAATTTGGATTATCATTGTTATAGTCAACCAAATCTAAGAAATACCTTTTGACGTTTCACATTAATCATTCCGCAATAACTTTTCACAAGCGTACTCACACGATTTAAAATAATCTTTTATGTAAATCCGAATAATTATGAAGTTATCTACATTTTGTTACAACGTGTATAGTGTTTTATCACTAATTTAAATTAGAATTTTTCAAACAAAGCAAAATATTAAAAAATAACCGGTATTAACTTTTTTTACTTGACGTCGTTTCAATGATATGTCGCCATGTATATTACCGTAGTGTTTGGATGATTAAAATTCATTGTTATGTGAATAATCGGCAAAATATTCAAATAATCGGTAAAAATATTCTAATAATCGAATCATTAATTTCTTTAATGTATTATTTGTTTAATTAGGTTTTTTATTTTCAAATCCTTAAATTACATGAATTATAATAAAACAAGTTTATTTTTTTTCACTTTGTCAAAGTAAATTTGTGTAGGCAAAAAACTCATATACACAGCTACTACTAAAATAACCACTACATAATTTCAAAATCTCGCCATTTCGGTACCAGTTACTCGACTCGATGTATACGCTTTCACAACAAAATGCCAGAAAATATACAAAATTTGACGTAAGTACATAAAGTTAAAAAACTTTATTCAACTAAGTTTGTATAAAAATGGTTATTTTAGTATTAAGGAATTTATGGATGATAATAACCCCCGGGAAGGGTGATCGCTACCACGCTATTTTTAATTTGTTTTGTGTTGTTAATTGTAACACGCATGATTGTAACTCTTATTCTAAAAAAAAACTAGTTCCGTTGGGTTTCTTGCTGGTTCTTCCCAGCACAGAGGGTTTTTTGCGAACCAGTGGTAAATGATAAAAGTGACTTTCAATAAGTATTATTCATAATCTATATTGAATATAAAGTTTCTGTTTCTGTTTCAAGAGCTCTGTGCGTAATTTTGTGATTTTGTGTTTGTCTTCTTACTATGTAACTTGGCTTTAACTTTTTGGACTGTTTCTTCTATAATAACTTTTTGTACGTGTTAGAGCCTCGCTACATTTATATTATAGTTGTAGCACGAATGGGTCGACCAGGGCAGGACCAAACTCTCACAGAATACCAGCGTAAAATAGCAGCGTTATGCTGATCTGTTTCGTATGGTGAGTGTAGAGAACCGAGACCCTTTTTACTGGAACCGAGGCATCTTAGTCCTTCAGGCGTGACAACGCATTTGCATTTTGATTCTTAATTGAGGATATATCAGATAGACTATGTGCTCGTTTGTCACCAAATGCTATAAAAAAATCAAGCATGTGCCCATCTCACAAAGGATGAATGGCCAAAAGTGGTAGAAAAAACAAAAAAATTGATTATGGATGACTTTGAAAGAGACATTAATTTTGTCTGCATTATTGAAAATCAAATTAGAATTATTATAAACAACGACATCCTTACCAGTTTTACTGAAAGTGATTAAATAAATTTATTTTTAATCTAATTTCAATCTTAAATTTGTATAACTGTGCCTCTAGAAATAAGCAGTAACAACAAATACGAAGAAACTGATAAATCTTGTTTTTTAAATTATCCGTTTTTAATTTAATTTTATTCTGGTACTATTCAAACCAAACTGTAACTAATTACCAACTCTAAATAATCGATATCGATTTTTTTAAGAATCGAATATTGTACGTTCTCATTTTTTAGTTGGCATGCTTGGTGCAATTAGTCTGACAGCTGTCAAAATGTATTTCTTAGATTTGGTTGACTATAGGTGTAGGTTTGGAATTTGGATGCAATATTAATGAGACAACCAAAAAAATCCAAACTTCAAATTCAAAAGCACGTTTTTGATTCCATGAACTAACACAGCGTCTCAAACGGACGTAAATACTAAACACTGAGTGATAAACTACGCAGTTGTTTACCCCAATAGGGTAAAAAAAGTTTAGCTACCTGCATATTTATTCATATTGAGGATTAGTCCTTAGAAGTTTCTATACGATTCTGAGTCTGCGCAATGTGAATGAAATGGCCCAATGGCGTAGGATCACATATCATCTATAATAAATACTTTTTAATGAAAGTGATGGTTTTTGAAAGAGAAGAAAGCAAAACGGTATGTGAAATAAGAATAGAAGGATAAGGATAAGAATAGTTAATTGAGCAAGTGGATGAGTTTGTGTATTTGGGATGTGTATTTAGCAGGGATGGTAGATATGATAGGGATATAGAACGACGAGTAAATGCAGGGAATAGAGTGAATGGGGCACTACACTCTATTATGAAGAACCAGAATGTGTCAAAAAAGGCACGTATGGTAATTCATAATGCTGTGTTAGTATCTACTTTAATGTATGGTAGTGAAAGCCGGGTGTGGCAGAAGAAGCACGAAAGTAGAATAAATGCTGTAGAAATGCGGTCTTTAAGGAATATGCTAGGGTTGAATCTGAATGACTGGGTAAGAAATTGCGTGATAAGAGATAAATGTGGTATGCAAGATGATGATGTGTGGCCAGGATTAAGAAAGGAATGCTTCGGTGGTTTGGTCATATATAAAGAATGAATGAGGAAAAAGTGACAAAGCAAATTTATATGGCAGATGCGAATGGCAGAGTCGGGAAGGGATGCCCTAGAAAAAAGTTTATCGATCAAATTGGCGATATTTTGGAAATGGGCCACGTTAGAAGTACCCTTAACCGACGAGCATGTATGCGTAGATATATGGATGTAAAGGAGGCGAAAGAGGTATGTCAGGATCCTGCCAAATGGAAGTCCGTAGTCTCTGCCTACCCTTCTGGGTGACAGGCGTGAATGTTTATGTTATTATGTTATGTAATAAATACTTTAAATTTTACAAAATTGCAGTTTTTCTACAAGGATTTCTAACTACTCCGAGCACATGGTAAACCAGCGTTCAAAATTGTGGTTAACGTTTTCAGTGATGTCGGCGAAGTTAGTGGCATCAGGGATTGAACTCGGGTTGTTCACATACTATGAAAATAAACGAGCGCAAACACTTGAGCTACTAAGACTTTTATGTAATATATTATCTATAATATTTAATTAAGTGAAAAATGCATATTTGTAAGAATAATAAAACTTTGGGCCGAAAAATCTACCGCCTGCAACTTGGGGCGGATTATTAAGACAGACGTAAGTCGATAGCTACTGACTGGTTATACGTATAGATAGCTAGAGAACTCGACAGCTCGTTTCCCGGTACTACATAAACTGAGTATTGATTTTTACAATTTACGCAGATAGCTATTAGTTTACATACAAGCGTGTCCGAAATACAACGACTCGAACCTTTGTGGGCGCCGATTAAATTTTAATTAGCCCCGGCGGTGTCATCGCGCGAATAATTAGGGGGGAAATTCGTTTATGCTATGTATTTCGGTCAGATTAATGGTTTTATATTAGCATCTTAAGAGCGAAGAGGAATTCACCTGAACTCGGCAGAACCGGCAGATGCGGCGCAGCTGTCGTCCGGGCCGCATGCCCCGCGCGTCGCGCCCCGTCGGCCCGCGCAATCGCGCCTAACAGTTTTATTTTCCCGAATAAACTTTATCAAACAAAGCGTGCGTGCCCCGCGCCCTGCATCTGCTCGCCCAGCTGTTCCTACTGCAGCTGACCGTCCCATCCCGCTCTACCCCGTCACCAGACGCATCGCCAGAGCGAGACGGAGAACGCTCACTGTAATCGCATCACGGCCCTTCAATTCCCTGTGCAGCGGCCCATTCGCAGTCCGTATCCCGACGCCGGCGGGCAAACTGCGAGTAATAATGACGAGCAAACGCAAACATGAACGCGATAACGAAGTGGACCGAAAATTGAAACGGCAGCGCCGTCGCAAGCGTTCTCGCAGCGAACCTCTGATGAACGATTCGGACAGCGCGGAGAAACGTCAGGCGCTGAAACGTCTGTTCGGACGGATCTGCTCCGTCGAGTTGGAGGCTGAGCACAACGACGATCTGTTGGAGAATCGCGGATTTGACAGCCACAGCTTTGCCGACGAGAACGAGGATCCTCTCCTGGATTCGGTGCCTGTCGACATGGATCCGGAACAACTTGGATTTTTGGTGTGCGCCCAAGAGACGTTACGTTTCCTCCACGGACGCGGCATACCAATTGAACACCCAGTGTTTGCTCGCTTGCGCTCGCGCCTTCTGCGCGGTATCGGTGAAATGGCGGTAGCATGAGCATTGCTAGGCCCAGAGCCTCCAAGAACCTAAAACCCTTATGAACGCTTCTACCTTCAGTGTTAAATAATCAGTGTCGTCCAGTATCTCTTAGCTAATAACTCTTCTTTCCCATAACGGAGGTTCTGGTTACTAAATATAACTTAGCATAAGGTGTATTGTTGCTAATAAAAGCAACAGGTGGCCCAACAGGGCATTCTAGTCGCTATCTAGTCAAAGTTAACGAATTATATTTGTTAAGCAAATCTTCTATTGATATATTAATGTAATAAAATCGTCCAATCGAGAAATGTGTTTTATTTGTGTCGCTTCTTTTTGGAAATTATTTGTATTTATAATGTGATTTTTAATTAAAAAAGTGCATTATTCTTTACTTTACCATACTTTACACATTTAATTAAAATTATTAAAAAGAAAATAATATTTAATTTAAGGGTCTAATAATAAAACAAACATTTTAATGCATATTCTATATTTGAAATAAATTATTAATGTACTTAAAAAATATTCTTAAAGCAAACAGTATTTTCAGTTTAACTTTCATTTGTACATTAATAAAAAATAATTTCCTATTTAAAATATAATTAAACTAATTATTAATCTAGACTAGAAAAGAAACTTTGGCAACGTATTATGTTATTAAAATAATATTATAAATATTCGATTATTTTCTGTGCATATAAAAAATAAAAATTAACTGTTCTCGTTTTCTGCTTTCTAGACCCGTATTTTTATAGTTTTACTATTAGTTTGATCTCTGAACAACACTTAAATTAAAGCAAAATGGAAAGACCAATTTTTTATAAATAAAGGGCCTTTTCAGTTCTTTCGGGTCAGGAACGCTGGCAGCTATAATAATATTATAATTTTAATATTAATTATTATTCCAAAGCTCTATCAAAATAGAGTTTTTGTCAACAGATTTAATAATTCACAACATAAGCCTACTCGGAGATAACAGCGACGACTGTAATTACGGCAAAATAATTAATCCTTGGCTAAATACGTTTGTAATTAATTTTTATCATTCTGATGGATTCGAACTGTAAGTAATATTGCTACCTCGATATGCGTATTCCAACAACATCTTGTTTATTTGTTCGTTAGTCCATTTCTCACTAAATTGTTGGCCATTGTTATGAAGTATGTTAGTTAATATCTTATGAAATTCTTGTGCTGTCATTTTTGATGGTTTTGGAAGTAATTCCTCTTTGAATATCGACGGTGACAACTCAGGTATCATTCTGTAATTAATAAAAGTAGTGTTGTTTATATCTTATGTGTTTATAAACAGAGCGTACATATTTAGAACTACGCTGCAGCTATATTATGGTTGTAGCACGAATGGGTCGGCTCGACCGGGGAAGGAAAATGCTCTCACAGAATACCGGCGTAAAATAGCAGCTTAATACTGCTGTATTTCATGTGTGAGTGTAGAGATCTGGAGACCCTTTTTTAATGGAAACGAGGCATTCCATCTTAGTTCTCTGGGGTGACAACGCATCTGCGATTTGATTCTTAATCGAGGATAAATGTAGATGTCTACGGGCCATAACATCCACTTACCATCAGGTGGACTGTGTGCTAGTTTGCCGCTCTTATTATGCCCTTATTCTATAAAAAAATATGGGAGTAATAAAAAACGGGATCACATTATACCTATATTTTTTTTTGATTGACAGATTTTCTTCTGAAATTTAAAAAATCATCATGATTTAAATCTTTAACTGAGCCTTAATATAGTTTTCAAGTTAGTTATTTAAAACTCATTTGCATATAACATGTTATTATCTAAATTATATTCTATACATAATTATGTTTGTTTAATTTTTAATTAAACTTAATATTTAAAGAATCTAGTTTCAAATTTAACATTTTAAATTTTTTAACAACCAAGTTGAATAATAATCTTTCAAACATCTAGTGAAAAATAAAATCTAACAGTGAATTTTATGCATTAAAATCAATAAAAACCATCCACTTAAAAGTAGTTCTTAAAATTAACTCAGCACATGAGAATATAGACCAGTGTTCAATTAATTTTAAATAAAACGTCCAGTTGCTACATTGAGTGCGATATACACGTATTCATTAATAAAATGGGTGCTGTACTCAAAACTTGAATTTCCTTTTGTTCGTGTAAATCTCTGATCAATTAACAAAGACATTTAAAAACTTGGTAATGTGAGAAAGAATTAGGCCAATTATAATATTTCAGTTTAGAAATATTAAATTTTAAATAAAACTACTGTATATACTTTTAAATGTATTATTATTTAAATATAAAAATATTACTATTGATATGATAAATATATTAGAAAATTTTAAGGTTTAAATAGTAGAGTTCATAAAAGTGTTATTATGAAGTTTGAGTATTTTGATTATCGACATAAATTTAATAAAGTAATTATATTTTACGAGATGTTAAATTAAAGAAACAGTCATATAGAAATTTTGAGACACATGTCATACAAAGAAACCTGTAAGGAACATCCTGTTTACTAACTGAAGTGAATTCAAAGAAAAAAGCTACCCACCTTGCACTGAGCGCCCCTCTGCCGACAGTCTTCCGCAAACCTTATGCTTAAATACACCTTCGTTATTCCGAAAAAATACTTTACTAAACCAGTGAGCTATTAATCGTACAGGAACTGTCGACAAAATGCCCGAGAAGGACCGCCCGGTCTCCATTGACGGTTCCTTTTTTTAAATAGCTTTCGAACGCTGGTGCACTCTAATTTGGATCTTAAGCGGATGTGCTAGAGGTCCATTTCATTAAATTGTAGAATAGAAGGGGTGCATGTGGGAGCCGGCTGGGACGTATTTGTGTGATTACCCTAACATGTGGTGTAGTGGGGACTGAATGAGCATCGATTTCGACTAAATAAATGTATTAGGTACGGCCTCAAACATGAATGACATAGCTCGATCTTACAACGAATGTTTGGGTTTGGGCTTTTGTCAGAAAATATATTTTTTATAAAATTAATATAGAAAAATTACAGATAAAAAGAAAACTTTGCGGCATTGAATTTGAGATTCTTACAGAATAGTTCCGAAAACATCTGCTCTATAGAGTTGGATCAACACTAAGTTGAAATTATTTTTTTTATAAACTGAAGTAACGAACTGAACTTCAAATAAGGTTTGCCAGATGGTAAGTGGCTACTGCCTGGACACCTGCAGCAAACTTAAAAGAAAGAAGGCTATAGAACTTTGTCACCTCTGAGGACTAAGAATGCCTCATGCATATTACAGGCAATTATACTGGTTCTCTTTGATTATATATCTGTCCTGGTCCTCTATACCCTTCTGACCAGACCGCAGCAGTGCAGGTATTTTATTTACCATATCATTAAATAAAATAAACATTACTTATGTAAACAAATAAAATAATATTATATCGTGCTAACTTTATAAAAAATATATTTAGTAGTAGAAGGCTCAATCTGAAAAATTAGAATTTCATAATAGGGATACACGTGGTAGAGAATCGTGTTTTATGCAATGAGGCACAAAGGTGTCCCCCATTGCATAAAACACGATTCTCTGCCACCGTATCAATAACCCTTACCTTACAATACCTTCACCACCTTCGAGGTACATATTATTATCTTTTATAGTTTTAATCGATTTTTATCTATTTCGGCATCTAGGGCGTTCTTTGTTGTATATATAGTAGTGGACAATAAAATTAGGCCACCTAACAATCCGGTTGTCGTGACTGTTTCAAAATAAAAACTACATTAATTTAAAAATTAAATAATGCATTTTTAAAATAACCAACTTTATTTTTTCAGCAATACACAGAAAAACCAAAAAAAGAAAAATTTGTAATGACTTCACATTGATAAAAAAATGGTAAGAGGTATTGCCTCCTCTGGCTTTGATAACACGTACCACATGTTAAAAATATAATGAAATATAAAATTCTGTAATGTGTTTGATGTTATGCAATAAACCATCGAGTGTAAGGCAAACAGACTTAACGCAATAAGCAGCTTAATGACGGCTTTTCCTGCTCTACATTTACTCTTTACAGACGGATTGTTTAGTATTTGATTAAATACTTGTCCTGTAAAAGTATATAATCAAAGAGTTTAGTTTAGTTCTTTATTTTTCTTTTTTAGATTTTTTTCCTTCATTCATTCATCTAAGCATTTCGTCTCTCCAAATCTGCAAAGTCCATGACAGCACTTCATCCATCCACATCCATCCATTCAACCATAACAGACCTTTAAATTCACTATGACCATCAACCTTCCCCGAGGAATGCCACAAAACACGGTTCTGGGCTACCGTACATAGTTTTTTTAAATAACTGCGCTAAAGTGTTTTACACACAATTTTTTGTTTGTTTTAAGTGTTTAAAAAGCTTTGTCCATTTCATTCATTTGGATTTTTTTATCTTCGTAATAAAATTAAAGTGAAGTCAGTGCTTGCAAACGTTCCACCACTGGAACCAAATCTTTTCACGTTTCTGAGAGAGTTAGAGCGAAGTAAGAATTCCGCGCTGCTCTAGTACAGAGTTTGCCACATCACAATCTGAATTTAAAATATTAGGTCCTTACATATGAAATTAGGGTTTTGTCGTACTGACCACTTTGATCTGAAATATCTTCTCTTTAGTTAAGAATTCCAAATTCAAATTTATAAATTAATTAATTTGTTTAAAAGTAATTCATTTGTTTTTTCCTCATTATTTTTTTCTTTGGCGTCGCTTGTTATCGCACAATGGAAAACATGAAATATCGGTATATTTACGAGTACGAGTTCTACCGTGGCACCTGTGCTGCAGAAACAGCTTGAAGAATTAATTATGTGTACGGTGCTGGTGTCGAAAAATAAAGGTACATTTTTGGTTTCAACGTTTTCATTCCGGAAATTTCGATCTTCAGAGCCAACCCCGTGGACGGCCGGAGGCCAAAGTGGAAAATGGAGAATTAAAGGCTATTGTGGAAGCGGATCCATCACAAAGCACTTCAGAGATAGCTACAGGCTTTGGGGTAAGTGATGAAACTGTATTAGTCCACTTAAAGCAAATCGGGAATGTAAAAACACTTGAACGATAGGTAACTCATGAATTGAGTGAATCGAACTTGCAAACACGCGTCGACTGCTGTGTTACTTTGCTCAACCGACACAAAAATGAAGGGATTTTAAATCGAATCATTACTTGTGATGAAAAGTGGATACTATACGATAATCGAAAGCGTGCGTCGCAATGGCTGAACCCTGGAGACCCAGCTAAATCCTGCCCTAAACGAAAATTGACTCAGAAAAATTTACTTGTGAGTGTTTGGTGGAATAGCGCCGGTGTCGTTCACTACAGCTTTTGTCAGCAACTGCAAACCATGAAGGAAGAACTAGCTGCTAAACAACCGAGATTGGTCAACCGCTCTAGGCCACTGCTGCTTCACGACAACGCAAGACCACACACTGCACAACAAACAACCACTAAGCTAGACAAACTGCAATTGGAATGTCTGTGACATCCACCGTACTTCCCGGACCTTGCTTCAACAGATTACCATTTTTTCCGGAATTTGGACCACTTCTTATAAGGAAAAAAAATCAACTCCGATGCGGCAGTCCAAACCGCCTTCAAAGAGTTTATTGATTCTAGCCCCCATGTTTTTTTAGTAAAGCGATCAATAAACTACCTATGAGATGGCAAAAGTGCGTAGATAACAACGGTGCGTACTTTGATTAATTAAATATATTTTACAAAAAAAAATTGACTTTATATTCCTCCCGTACAAAGCGCCAATTTCATATGTAAGGACCTATTATTTTTTATTTCAAAACAATTCGATATACTTGTGAAAAACTGTGGTGTTACGCAGCTTTGTAATAGTTAAGTTATATTGAAAATCGTAGCTTTTGAAGCTAATAAAAGGACTTTTACGGTTAGTGAGTTGAAGGAATGAAAAGAGTGAGGAGATAATTGATGAGAACAAATCGTTGATCCGTCATTAGAATGGCCTCAAGGCAACGTTGTATCTAGGACCATTTAACTTATACGAAGTAACAACCCGACGAAAGAAAGAAGCAAATTATTAAGTTTTGAAGCAATATATGGATTAAGTGTATAGTTTTACATATACTTAATTTTTTTTATAGAAAAAGGGGCAAACGAGCATGCGGCTCACCTGATGTTAAGTGACTACCGCCACCCATGATCAACCGCAACACCAGGGGAATTGCAGGTGCGTTGCCGGCCCTTTAGAAAGGAGTAAGCTGTTTTCTTGAAGGTCCCCAGGTCGTATCAGTCTGAAAAAATTGCCGGCGGTAAACTATTCCACAGAGAGGTCGTACGCCGAAGAAAACTCCTTGTGAACCGTACAGTGGTGGACCGCCGGGCATCCAGATGGTGTGGATGGTATCGGGACGTTTGCCGCATAGTGCGTTCCCGAAATTTGGCAGCTGGGATTAATCCGAACAATTCCTCAGACCACTCCCCATGGTATATGCGAAAGAAAATGCAAAGAGATGCAATTAAATATTAAATGTTTATGTGGTAGAGCTCCGCTGCAACATAAATGTGACTGGAATACGAATCAGACCACGCTGCAGCCATAATATTACAACGGGGAAGGACCACTCTCTCACGGATTACCAGCATAATGCAGAATAACATAATTTTGTCTTGTCTTTTTACTACTAACGAGGCATAATCTTAATCTGCCTTGAAGGACGCATTTGCGTTTTGAAGTGACGTGGACTGTGTTTTTTTTACTGTGCTTGATCATCTGGTGGTAAGCGGTGACGCCCTAGATGGTAAATCGCGCAGTTTTAGCGTAACAATAGCCTATTCACCCAGATTGTATTCGGACGGAAAAATAGACGTCGGCAAATTATTCCACTCCTTTACTGTACGCATTGTGTGCTCTTTTGTCACCCTTCTATAAAAGGTTTTATTATATAGTCCTAAAGTTTTAAGTTTTTTATAACAAGTTTTTTATAATAGTCTCATTGTTCCGTACTGTACCTAACACTAATAATTAAAACTTAAAACACTAATAATTAACCACACTGATTCACATTATTTCGAATTCAATACTGCCCCGATCGTGACTTGCAGCGGTTTAAATACACCTTTTACACCGAAACATCCATAATATTCCCGTAGATACGAACGCTGACAGACCAGGTGCAGAAAGTTCGAGTGTGGGGCTTCTAGAAAGCTTATTTATTCAATTCGGTACTAGGCAGCAGTTACTGCTACAACCTCCCTAACGTGAGGGTAACGATGGTCCTGCCGCACGGCTTCCACCTTCAATGCATGGGCCAAGGCGTCCTTAAGCGTCTCGTGGTGCCAGAGCCTCATAGCAGCTCTGACTTCCAGGTCGCGGATGCCGTCGATGAATGTCTGCACCAGGTTCCCTTCAATGAGCGCGGGTACAGACCGGTATGCTTTTCGCACCAGCTTCTCCACCTCTAGAGCCCACTGCTGCAGGTTTTCGTTGCTGTGTTGCACGCGATCTTTAAGCTGCGCGCAAAAGACGTGTTCCTGGTAAGCGTCACCATATCTCGCCTCCAATGCCTCAAGGAGCTGCTCGTAGGTCACTTTCT